AGGAGGTACACTTTACTACAGTAGGCTTTATGGGACAACTCACCACCCACCCAGTAGCCCTTCTATATCCTACACCTACCTGTTCACGCTCATTGTAGATCAGCATTGTTGGGCCTGCTGGGAGCTGCAAAGCCTCTTTATGATAAGTCTTCCATCTGGGCAGTAGAAAACCCAATAATTTCTATGGAAAAGCCCCACCACTGGGACAGAGTGATCCTCAAGTAAGCTGATAATATAGGTACATGACACCAGTAGGTGATTTGGTGGGTGAGGAGCAGATGTAAGGTTCACAGCACTAAGGAACTACACTACCCTACGTGAACACCTTTTGCAGGGCTCTAGGAAACTACTACTATTGATTCAAGAGCAGGGGCGGACTGACCATTTGGAAACTCGGGCACGGCCCGAGGGCCCGGGGTCAGTAGGGGGCCCCATGAGATGCCCCTGGTACCTTTTTTTATAGGCTTTTTTGAGTTTGGGCAAGGACACAGGGGCCCCATGATCTCCTATTGCCCGGGGGCCCCATGAGTTGTCAGTCCGCCTCTGTTCAAGAGTGACCTGCCTTCCCATGCATAACAGTGCAGCTGCTTTATGTGGTCACCCTATTCACAGGGACTACCCTGACTAGATGTTCCATTATTATTATGAGGCTCTGTTCTTTCAACCACAAGAGATACAGTATGTAGTGAAATATACTGTATATCTATATGCATATAAAAAATAAACAACATAATCTTGATAGCTTTTGAGACTCAAGGGATTATAATTATTTGAATGAAAACTATATATTTATTAACATAAAAAAAACAAAACAAAAGCAGCTTCAGGCATTAAATATATTCTGTAGAATATTTTATTTCCCACAAAATACCTAGGGAATAGTACAGCGCTGCAAGACAGAGGACGCATTGATGGTTCTTCTATAGCAGACATCACAGAATCAGCTGTCCCAGGTCTCTAATGGGGAGACATAACACAACAAGCATTATAATCAGAAACCATAGGCAAAAATGAGAAGAGTGATAAAAATTACTGTTTAGAATGTAAAGGGGAATTTAATTTGTAACTTTGCTATAGTGTAGCAATGAAAGGCAATATCACACAAGCTATTTTCTGTATTGCTAATTGCATTTTGATTAGTCATGCTAATGATTGCCAATGGGAATTTTACCAAAAATTAAAGGTAAACTCCAGCCTTACCTTCAGTCTTGCAGAGCTGTACATGTTCCTTCACTGTACTGGAACCGCTTACTCTGATTTCACTGCACACTGTGAGTTTCTCACAGCATGCATTAGAAGCTGCACCAAGTCAGATGCAGCCCGCCTCATCTCCTGGCTGGGAACACATCCCAGAATCACCAAGCTCTTTCCTCCCCAGCCGCGCTGTCCCTTGCCTGCCCCTTTTATTCACTGGATTTCAGTTCTTTCAATAATGGCTCAACATTTCTTAAGGTAGTCTGCATGCAAATGCAGTCTGCCTAGGACTGCTCACCTTCAAATGGACATATATCTATCAAGGCATGTTTATATTTGCATATCACCTCCCATGAGTCAGTCCTCTCCCATGCATCAGGCAAGCTGTGTACAGCCCCTTTCACCAGATATGATCTACCTGCATTGCATAGACAAACACAAAGACCCAGTGATGGTGCCTCTGTAAAAAGGATATATAATGATGGGAAGATTTTATTTAAAAATGTAATTAGCACGTTGCTGGTGGGGGACAGAAAGCAAAATATAATCAGATTAAATTTCAGCTTCTAAGTGTGTATAAAAGTATTTTTTATTTCTTTACGTTTTAGATATACTGTGAAAAAGTTGGACCCTTTTTAAAACTGTATTGCTGTCTGTGTCCCAAGCTAACGTACAAGCTACATTTTCAGGTTTGAGTGGGTTGCATTTAATAATGATGGTATTATCAATTCAAACAATTTTTTTATCTGTGATCAGTATTTCTGTAATGTTTTCTGAGAACCCCAAATGACATTTGGGAACTCCATTAACCACTTACGTACCGGCAGGGCTGCTAATAGAAATCACAGTGCCCCATACAAACTACCTGACAGAGCCCCCTTCCCAAGAAAATATCAAAGCAATATTTCACTAAAAATACAATAAAATCATTATTAGTGAACACAAACACAACATAACTTTGTGGAGGAGGTCTGGGGCTCATTCACACGGGTGCTGTGGCCTGTACAGTGGATCAGTGGTTCGTGCATGTGGCTGGAACCACCTGAAGCTGAGTGCAGGCAGCCTATGTTATGCTATGGGAACGCACTGACTGCACAATCACAGCCGCAAGTCCTAATATGACAGGCATATGAATTCAGGTGTACGGCCCAAACACAGACAATGTGCATTTGGGGCGACTCACCCACACCTGCCCACCTGTCAAATTAGGGCCTATGGCTGTGTTCATAAAACCACAGCAGAGTGACAGGCAGCTGCAGCCCAAACCCCTCTTTCACAAAGCCAAAGAACCAGTGTGAATGAACCCTTATTTATATTTTTTAACCAATTTTTTTAACAACCCTATTAGGGGGGGGGGGGGGGGGACATTTCTGAAATATCAGGGGTGTAAACGGATCCCTGATGTCTCACTTCTGAGACAGAGAAAGATTGAGAACTACAGATGAATGAACAAGAACTGCACTATACAGAGGCTCCTGTTCATTTACAAACTGAAGCATAGTAAACATGGTTTACTATGCTTCAGTTAAAAATAAACACTGCACTGATCACTCACTGTATTCATTCAGGAAAGGAAGGGGCAGGTAAATATGACACATTTACCAACTCCCCGCTCTCCATCCTGAAATGGTCCCACTATGTGCCCATAGCAGCTGACAGCTAAAAGGAGGTAGAGGAGGAGAAGCTGAGAAACTGGCAGCTGAGGGAAATGAGAATGGGGGGGGGGGAATAGTGTTGGATCCTGCTGATTAATCTCAAATCTTATCCGTATTTTCTATAGATATGAAAAAATATACTAAAAATCATTAAAACATATAAATATAACACAAATAGTCAAATGTTATTGCAAATACATGCAGGCAGGATTCATGGTCATAGTTACATAGTTAGTCTGGCTGAAAAAAGACAAAAGTCCATCCAGTTCAACCATAATTTTTTTTTTTTTTCAAATGGTCGCATCACAGTTGTCTTGATGGACAGAATGCCATCCATTGAGAGTGCAATGCACCTATACCGGTGACATCACCGGCTGTTACACATGTAAATATCTCCTGAATGGTGCATGTTTAGAAGATATTCACTGTACCTACAGGTAAGCTTTATTATAGACTCACATGTAGGTACAAGAAAAAAGTTAGTAAATGGTTAAATAAAAGGAGTTGATACATGAATCTGCAGAGGGAACTGGTAGTGAAGGGAAGAAGAAGCAAAGCTGCAAAGGACAGAGGAATGACAGAGGTTTATAGCAGTGAACTGAAAGACCCCAGTCTGGAGGAGAGGAGTGGGAAACCCAGCTACATAAACTGCACGGGGACAAGATAAAAGGGAATGTAGCTGATCTGGCTGTGACTGTCAGGAGACAGAGCAATGAGGGAGAGAGCACAAAATAATATACAGGTTGGGCAGTTGGAGCACCGAGATCAGCAGAGAGCCAGGAAAGGTGAGACAAGACGAAGCACAAGCCACAATTGATGGGACTGAGAAGGGGAAAGATTGGAGCATGAATGCAGGGCTAGGGTTTTGGAAAGACAGTGAACAGGGCGAGAATCTGGAGCAATGGAGGAAAGGTCAAGGATGAGAAACAAAGTTACAGAAGCAACAGATTGAGCACAGCTAACATTAGAGCAGCACTGTGGGAGAATGACAGAAGGCTGTAGATAGGAGGGGAGTTTAACGGCTGAAAATGTGTTTGGCAGTTGCCGGGCCCCCTGCTGATGAGATGGGGCCCGGGCCCCTTACAAGAGGACCGGAGGTACCCCCATATCAGCGGCCCTGCCTACCGGGCACTTTTTTTTTATACCCTTCCTGCCCAGACCAATTTTCAGCTTTCAGCGCTCTCATACTTTGAATAACTGTGCTTTCATGCAACACTGTACCCAAACAAAATTGTTATAATTTTTTTTAGACAAATAGAGCCTTCTTTTGGTGGTATTTAATCACCACTGGGGTTTTTATTTTTTGCTAAACAAACTAAAAAAGAGCAAACGTTTAGAAAAAAAAAAAAAGTTTTTCTTAGTTTTCGTTATAAAGTTTTCTAAAATAAGTAATTTTTCTCCTTCACTGATGGGCACTGATATGCTGTACTGATGGGTATTCATGAGGAGTTACTGGAGGGCACTGATGAGGCTGCACTGATGGGTAGCACTGATGGGCACTGTTAGGCGGCACTTTGGGCACTGTTAGGTGGCACTTATGGGCATTGATAGGCAGGCGGCACTGATGGGCATTGTTAGGTGGCACTAATGGGCTGCACTGATGGGCACTGATAGGCGGCACTGATTCAACTGATGGGCACTGATTGCCAGCACAGATGGGCACTATTGGATGCACTGATGGGGCTACACTGATCACCAGAACACTGATGATCAGTGTAGATGCCCCCCTGCGAAACTCCGCTTACTGTCTCTCCTCTCCTCTCGTGTTGTCAGCGCATGAGGAGAGGACTGCCAATAACCGGCATCTTCTATTTACCCTGTGATCAGCTATGATTGGACACAGCTGGTCACATGGTAAAAGCGGCTGTGGTTGGCCCATTCCTTAGTCATGTGATCAGCTGTGTCCGCGGAGTGTGCGCACCCCCCCAGGGGCGCGCGGGGGGTGTGGTTCTGGGAGGACATCCATGGACGCCCTCCCAGAACTAGCCAATCCTGCTGTAGCCGTCTTTTGGCTATAACACGGTCGGGAACTGAGTAAATAACAATGATGCCTAACAATCTTGATACCTCTCAAATGTATTGCTGGACTCCAATTGAGACCCTTGGAACCAGATGAATGTAAGAAGATAGACTCACATTACACAGAGATTTCACCAGAGAGCCAGTTCCATCCATGCTATTTACAAAGTCTTTGTAAAATTTCATCTTGACTTTCTGGTTGCGGATGATAAGGGAACCAATGCCTTTAAAGCTGAACTCAACATTTTGCTTGGTAGCGAGAGAGCGAGAGAAAATACCGAGTGTCTCCCTGACACACCCCTCTATAGTGTCTCTGTTGTAGGAGCAAGAGAAAGACATGGCGATGAAGTTCAGAGGAACGACCGGGATTTCACCTGAGAAAACAAGAATATGAGTTAGAGACAAATACTGTGTACATTCACTATTTAGTAATCAGCTTGTTGGTGTAACTTTCACCTACAAATCCATTTAGAATGGGGATGTATATATATAAAGCTGAACTCCAGGAAACCTAAAAATTCACCCTTGCAGTGGGGTTGTGCTTGCTTCTGTTTTGGGGATTTGGAAATGCAGATTTATAGTTGTGCTAAAAAAAATGCATACCCTGGAAGAAATGTTGGCATTGATATTGAAAATATGACTGATCATTCCAAAAAACTCTTTTATTTAAGGATAGTGATCATATGAAGCCATTTATTATCACATAGTTGCTTTTAAATCATCATGATAACAGAAATCACTCAAATGGCCATGATCAAAAGTTTACATACCAGAGAATGTTTGGCCTTGGTACAGACTCACAAGATGACACACACAGGTTAAAATAGCAATTAAAGGTTAATTTCCCACATCTGTGGCTCTTTAAATTGAAATTAGTGTCTGTGTATAAATAGTACATGAGTTTGTTAACTCTCACATGGATGCGTTTAAGCAGGCTAGCTACTGAACCATGGGGAGCAGAAAAAAAACTGTCAAAAGACCTGTGTAACATGGTAACTGAACTTTATAAAAATGGAAAAGGATATAAAAAATGTATCTAAAGCTTTAAATATTCAAGTCAGTACTATTCAATCACAAGAATGCCATCCCCACTGTGAAGCATGGTGGTGGTTCACTGATGTTTAGGGGGTGTGTGAGCTCTAAAGGCATGGGGAATCTTGATGGCAAGATGAATCCAGCATGTTACCAGAAAAAACTGGGAGACCATTTGCATTCTCCTGCACCAAAGCTGCGCATGGGATGCTCTTGGACTTTTCAGCACGATAATAACCCTAAACACAAGGCCAAGTTGACCCTCCTTGTTACAGCAGAAAAAAGTGAAGGTTCTTGAGAGGCCATCACCGTCTCCTGAACTTAATATCATACAGCCACTCTGGGGAGATCTCAATCATGTGGTTCATACAAGACGACCAAAGACTTTGCATGACCTGGAGGCATTTTGCCAAGACAAATGGGCAGCTATACCACCTGCAAGAATTCAGGGGCCTCGTAGCCAACTATTACAAAAGACTGCTCACTGTCATTGATACTAAAGAGGGCAATACACAGTATTAACCTCCCTAGCGGTATTCCCGAGTGTAGCTCGGGGTAAAGTTTCAGTACCAAAAGCGGTAACCCCGAGCTACACTCGGGTTTACCATGCGGCGTTGCTCAGGGATTCCCTGCAGCGCTTACCTTGTCCTTCGCTCTCCCGCGATGTGTCCCCTGCAGCGTCCCCGGCCATCTCCTCCAGCCGATGCCAGCATCCGGCTTCTGTGTTCCGGTCCCTGTGACGTCGGGACGTACGGGCACCGGCGGGCGGCGGGAAATTTGAAAATTTTAAAAAATGTCATTTTTTTTCCAAAGTTTATATAGTAAAACATTGCTGTTTCAACCCATTTCACATACATTTTGTCCCGAGTGCTTTGTCCTGTGCCCTGCCTGCATTTTGTCTGTTCTTTCTGCTGGAAACTGAGAAACGTCCACGGTGTCCAAAAACCATCCTTTTAGGTCAAAAGTGGGTTTAGATCAGCTAGAGAACAGCGATAGAAAATCAGAACCACTTGCAGAATTGAGTGATAATGATTCGTGGGGAAATTCATCATCAGACACTGAAAAAACGATTTTGCGACTTTGCTCAGCAATGTGCGAACTTGGCGCTATATTTCAAATTTCAGTGTTTTTGGTTTGATTATATTATTGAATTAAATGTATTATTATTATTTTTTTTATGATTATTTATTAAATTATAATTTATGATTTCGTGTTTCCAATTTTATCATACCCGGGATGTTTACTAGACTCTTGTTCGGACAGATTTCAGTGAGTTATTCCTAAAAATTACAGCCTACAATAAAAAAACTACATATTTCCATGCAAAATAATGGTACCGCTTTCAGCACCAAAAATCTGAAATAATCATACTGCCAGGGAGGTTAAAGTGTTACTACACCCAGGACCCTGCATCCACTACTGGTCTCTCACAGTACACACTACACGGAAATGCAATTAGTTTAGCAAATGTAAACTGCTAAATACCTTTTCTCATCAGCAGTTAGAGCAGTCTTGTGATTTGTATCAATGTTCAGCAGAGCACTGGTTAAAGCTTGTAGGAGGAGTTTTCTTTCTGCTCTAGGAGGATACAGAACCCCTGACCTCTGTCTGGACAGTGCTGATAGGCCCTGTGCTGATCACATGCACTCTCCCAAGAAAAAAAAACAACCTCTCTAGCAATACATACTAAACTGAGCATGTGCAGAGTGTCTCCACATGATATGTCCTATCAAGAGATAAGAGGGGGACACTGGAAGAAGGGGAGGATCAGAGAAGTCAGGATCAAACAGTATTTTTACACAATGCAGAGGATTAACCCTTAGGTTCCACAGTGAGTATATCAGGCATGCTTTACTGCATATACAGACTGATTTTACTGTTGTGGGTTTAGTAACACTTTAAGAACTAAGAGGATGCAGACTTTTAAACAGGGGTAATTTAATTTGTTTACTTGTTGCCATGTTTTGTTTTATGATTGTGCAATTCTGTTATGTGCCATTCAGTTATATATGAATCCCATAACTAATAAAAGAATGTGTTTTGTCTGCTCACTCACGCTATTCTTTAAAAACAGTACTGTATAATACCAATTCTCCAAGCGTATGCAAACTTTTGAGCACAACTGTACTTACCTGATCCTTCACTCCGCAGTGCTAGACCGGCCAGTGCAGCCACTTCTCCCCCATGCTCTTGCAATCTAAGGTTTTCTGACATCATCAAGACCAATGCAGAGTCCATAGCCCTGCACTGGACAGGAGGATGTCGTGGGACAGTCCAGCTATGAAGCTTTTGGGAGCACCATCTGCTGGGGGAGCAGAGGATAAAGTAAGTAAAACTATGCCAACAGAGTAGTTGATGCTTGGAAGACACTTCAAGAAGAGATATTGAATCAGTCAATACTAAGTAGATTCAAATATGCTTGGGACAGACATACTTGGGGAAAAAAAAGGTAACGAAAAACAAAAAGATACTGTATGTCTATTTTTTTAAAAAATGGGGCAGACTGGATTGCCCACTTGGGTCTTTTTTCTGCCATTGCTCTTCTATATTTCTATGCATTTACTGTCCCATGGACTAAATGAGCGGCTAACCCTTGCAGAATTTTTTATTTTTTTATATTTTTCTATGCAAATGAAGGATGACCTCAATTCACATACTCACCTGCCCTGCACATCCATCATTGTCCTTCTGTAATCCCCTGCCACATGCCAGGTCCCACGCCACTATCTTCATCCCTGATGTCATCAGGAGCCTGACTGTCTCTTCTGGGTTCAGGCAGCCGGCTCCTGATGACACGTGCAGCCTCTCTGTATCTCAGCTCTTGCAGCCTCTTGAGATATGTGGCGGGGATATCCCAGGAGACTGGGGAAGCATAGACACGTCATTTTTACTTAGGCGAGAATGGTGGGAGAGGGCAGAAATGAATTAAAAACACATTTTTAAATGTAAACAATTTTAAAAAATATTGACATTTTAATTTTGTGGAAACGGGAGGACTTCAGGGAGGAAAAGACAATTTTTTAGAGTGAGGTCGACTTCAAAGTGGAACTTCTGTCTCCCAATCAACATTGACTATTTTTAATCCTTATGCTGCTAGCATTAGTAAATAGATAAGAAAGTATATCATATTGTGGGCAGCACAGTGGCTAAATGGTTAGCACTTCCACCTAGCAGTACTGGGGTCATTGGTTTGAATCCCAACCACGGCACCGCCTGCCTGGAGTTTGCATGTTCTCCCTGTGCCTGCATAGGTTTCCTCCAACACTCCAAAGACATGCTGGTAGGTTAATTGGATCCTGTTTAAAATTGCCCTAGTATGTGTATATATGAATGTAAGTTAGGGATCTTAGATTGTAAGCTCCTCTTTTTTACAATCTGACCGGGGGGGGGTGGAGCCTGAGCATGGCGGCACAGTAGAGCGGAGAATAGACACTCTCCGATAGCCTTCCCCACCTACCCTCCCTGAGTGTTCTGAGGGTCTAATTGGCTGTGCTGGTGGGCTGCTGGAGACCAACCTGGAGTAGCGGGAGATCCCGGCGGTGATACGGGGACCGGCCTGGAAGCGGGGAGCCGAGGCAGCCATTCTCCGGAGGTCTGCTTGTGGTGATCCCGAAGAGAGCGTGGGGTTGCCGAGCGACGAGGAGGAGCGGCGGGCACCACGTGGTATGCCGCGGTGGACTGCTGGGAGAGAGAGAAACCGGCCGGTATCCTAGGAGGCTGGGAGAAGCGCAGTCCGACTGTCACCATTAAGCAGGTTGTTCCCAGGAGAATCTGTGCAGCATAAGGGAGAAGAGGAAAAAGGGACCCAAAGGAACCCCCTTGAAGAAGAGGATACGGTCACAGGAGACAAAATAACTCAGGACTGCAACTCTGAAGCTGCTCCAGAGAGGAGGGTGAGCTGTGAGTTGCCTATGTGATAACTGTATGGTCTGCATCTTAGGCTACCTGAGACTCAGCTTAAAGAATCAAGGAGGGGGTTCCCAGAGAGGGTCTGAGGATTTGCAGAAGAAAAGAAGTGACAGCTTAAATATAAATATTCCAGAGTTATAAAAAAAAAAAGCCTTAGAAAAAAAAAAAAAAAAAACCTACATGCGATATGAAAGGGAAAAGCAGCAAAGGAAGCATGCCCAAGAACTCCCAAATCCAAACTGCAACGATAAAAAAATATACGTCGCAGGGGAAATTGACTCCAGTAAGAACTCAGGAAATAAGTGAAAGGAGTGACCTGGAAATAAGCTTTGATAATAGCTTAAGATCCTCCTTGGGAGCAGTTAACAATAGCCAACAAACAATAGAAGGAATGGAGACGGGTGAAATTGAAAAAGATTTGCAAATACCGAAT